TGCAGCTGATCCAAATTTTTACAGCAAAAATTTGCTCTTTTTGGGGAAAACATACTTGAAGCTAAACAATAAGAAGATGGCGCTTCTGTGGTTAAGCAAAGCRAAGGAGTATCCTGCACAGACAGAGGAGGACAAACAGGTAGGAAGTCAAGAACTGTCATAGTGCAATCATATATTGTACCCAACATATGTGACATCATGGCMGTGGAATGTTATCTGAAAYAATTGCAGAGGAAATTATAGGTCAGTACCTATAATTCAGAATCACCATTATCAACACCAATAAATTCTAGTRTGTTACTAGCCACTTCTGAAAACAATGGTTGGAAATATTCTGTTTTATTCATAGTAGAGAGCTGTTACCCTTTTTTTCTCCATTTTATCTTTCTAGTGCTAACAACAACCCAGCCTTAGCTGTGTTGCTGAAGTTCAGGCAAGCACCTGCACTAGCCTATTTCTATGGGAATGTAGATTCACCTTTCATATGCCTGAAATGGGTAAGGTAGGAATCACATTTGGAAGAGCTAACARTTATGTGAACACAAGGCAAAATTAAACATGGATGTACCAAAACCTTAGCATTGCAGTCCTTTCCAGGCTTCTAGGGAGAGATTCAGATGMTCTGAATAAGACACATTAAGGTAACGTATCTTTGACAGCACCTCTCCAATGCTAGATGGCAAGAGTGAATTACCCTGGCATCTGCTTCCTACCTAAACATTGAAAGTACTTTCTGGAGAATTATCCATTAGACTTGTTCACACCTGGTAATGCACTGAGTATAAACCAAAGCAGTTGCAGTTACCTTTCATAAATAATCCTGTTAGCATCAGGACTAATAAAGGCTTGTTTATAATTGATCTTTCTAATGGTTGATTGAATTTTTCAGCCTAAAGGAATAATGGTCTTAGTTGTGTATGAAAGTGGTCAGTTCTCGCAGTTACTAGTAGCTGGAAGCATATGTGAAACCAGTGATCCCAAAAGCTTGTCTTTCTYTAGGAACTGTGCAAAAAGAATAGTCAGGAGTGAACTCTGTGCAGTAACCAAGTTGTTCATCCGCTGATCTGCTTCAGCTACTTGTGGCCTCCTGGTACAAACAYCTATTTCCTAATCTCTTAGAGGAGTGCAGAGCTGCTGAACTGAGAGGTTTTATGTGGGGCATTCTCCCTATTCTCTGGATGAATGTAAAATACAAAATTCATTGGGAAATAGACTTGATAGTCCACTACGAAGGAAACTGGCCTGTGCAAAGAAATTTGAATTTTTGTCTCTGCATAATTAGGTTTTCTAAATAAATATTTATTACTGCAGGTACTCAGAGGTATCTGGCTTACATTGTCTGCACGGCTTGTTATGCCAGTACCAGAAGCTTGTTGTGTTGGAGTTTTTTTTGTGGTTTGAGGAGGGAAGGGAGTGTGTTGAGATTTTTTTTGTTGTTTTGTTCGGTTTGTTGTTGASGGGGTTTAATTTGAATGTTAGAGATCATATTAAAATTTTATTATGTTTTAACTGTTAAACCTTAGGGAAACAGAGCCTCAGAAATGGTCTCACACTTCTAAGTCACAATAGTGTTGAAAACCGTAGGTTGGTCGGATATGGTGAGTGGTATGACAACTTCATACATGCTATTACTGGACCACAGCAAAGCAAAAGCTAACATCTGCATTCAGTACAAATAAACTTAGTTTATATAGTAAGTGAATTACACTAAAGACACTGGCTTAAGTGTTTTATTCCTGTTGATGTTTTAAGTATAAAGCATCTTGAATTACAGAAGAAAAATGACTAGTCTTAGGAGTATTCTGAATTTACAAAACTGCAGTGAAATGTTTGGGTGATTGTGAGGCAAGTTTTGCTGTAACTACTGGGACTGATTTGTTATATTTCTTTTTTTCAGGTACAAAAAGAAGCTTTGGAGCTCCTTAATTCTATATAAGAAGAAACAAGGTAACAGAAATTCAGTGCCTCAGGTTTAAGCAGCATAGGAAAAAGGCTCCAAATACTACTTTGGTTTATTGAAGCTGTCAATAAAAGTGCAGCCCAGACTTTCTATCTCCCTCTCATTTCTATTAAACTCTCAGCTAGAAGATGTGTTTCATTTTGTGATCCTGTCTGTTGTTTTACATGGGAATGAAGGGGGCTTCATGCACAAGCGGGGTCAATATTTAGACGGAAAAGGCTGGGAGAGTGTTTGCACAGGTTTTTAATTATGTTTTTTACACTTCTAAACTACAAGTTATTTATGAGGAATAATAAGAAACATGACTAGCAAAAGTTTAAAGAAAGGAGGGACAGGGTCATGACATAATAACAATCCTGCAATTTTTTTCTACAGCATTTTCATGTGAGGTTCAATGGCCCTCAGGAGTAACAGATGCTTCTACAGATTTATCATTAAGGCTGCACCATYTTAATTCCAATACTCTTAAATGCTACTGTGTGACTTCACAGAAAGTGTTGTAATTTAGAATAAAAAATGAACAAAAAATCAGGGAACATCTAAAAAAAAATCCCTTTATGGGTGATTATCACTATGTGCAGTGAAAGCTTTCTGATGATCTAGTAGCTGTAAATGTTTGCTGGCCACACACACTTTATCCTAGACTGTGACAACAGGAGGAATATACARTCCCAGTATATTAGGAAGGAACTACTGTAGGGAAGCGTTGGGACTTCTGTTTGTACAGAAAAAGCTTTTTTTGGTCTTTCTACAATGTTGGCAGGAATGTCACCAGAAACACAAAGTAACCTAAGTCAGATGTCTAGCCAAACAATACATTCCAATTACCCAAGAGAAAAAGAGCACCAAATAAAGAAAAAGTGGCAGACAATCAGTTACATGTGGTATTGTACGAAAAAAAATGATGAGGAATACCTAATACTTGCTTTGCTAGGAAAGGGTATTGCAATCTACTGAAGRAAGATGAAGAACAGCATAAATTGCTTAGACAAACAAAGCCTGAGCTAAGTCAGYAATAAAAAATTCACAGTTGAGAGAGAATTCTAGCCTGAGATCACAAACTAGTTACAACAGGGTTTTCTCAACTACCATAGAGTAATTATTATTTTTCTATTAGTAAAGCATCAAAATGAAGTCCTCTATGTCACTGTCATCTCAGGGTGGATGACAGTGTTTGAATTTTCTGCATTCATATGCTACGAAAACATCTTCCATATACACAGACTTGCTTCTAATAGCTTTGTGGCAGAGGCACCTTTACTCAGATGCCTTTTCTGCTGCTGCACAGAGGAAGAGTATCCATGTACTGAGTAACAACTGTGCAAGTGTAGTGAAAAGCAGCTGAGCTGCAGGAAGAAAGGAACCAGCAAAACCAATGAACTACACAACAGCTCCTTCAAGTGTATTGCCTCACTGGTTCCCTTCTCTGATCTCCAGCCACRTTTGTCTTCCCTCTTTTTACTTGCTCCCCAAAAAAGGTGAATTATGGGGAATTCAAATGGGAAAAGAAAGAACTACAACATAGTCTTACTGAATTTCCCAGAAAGTTCAAGTGCTGTACACACATGCACACAGGTGTATTAAGGAGTGTTTTTCCCCCCCTCAGAGCCATTCTTTCACCCTTGGTATCAAKTCACAGATCATACACATGTACAGAAGGCTACTGGGTTGGGCTTTTTTCTTGCTTACTAAGCCTTACCCCCCAGGAAAAAAATACTGCAGTTATGAGACAGCTAAAGTTACCAAAACAATAAAACAACTACATTCTTGTGATGAGCTGTCTTTTTTATTATTTTGTTCAGTTACTCACAGATTCACAAAATTCAGCAGTTGGTAGCGGGTCACCAAGTCATTCATTAGTGCAAATTTGTTAATTGTGACATTTAGCCCTCCTTGTCTTTTAGGCAAATGACACACACACTGGTGCCTGGCCTTTGACCTTGGTTTATTTTAACTCCTCCATTCTAACCAGCATTAAGTGGTAATTTATGTGCACTTGCACTTCAAATGAATTTAGTGCAATATAAAAATGGTTTTGCAGAAGATACTTGGTGGTGTATGAARAAACCTCAAAGTGGTGGAATTTTTTGAAGCTCTTACAGAAAAGGGCATGTAAGACAGCAGTCTGTTGGGCCTGCTGCACCACTGCTGTGACAGAGCTCTGTACAGGTACAGYTCCAGTGTAAGCTGTGCATACTGAATACAAAGCCTTGAGACAATCCAATATGTAGAAAAATAAACTTTTGGCTGCTATATTGGAAAGATACATGACACTTTTAACATGTACACTTTTAACAGTGCAATATGATATGTTAACACGAGTGTGTTGAATTGTATTCTAAAATCATTTTCATGTGTGTACAAAATTGTGTGTAATTTAAATGTCATGGAAGTTACAGATAATATTTAAAGCTTATTACAAATGGTGATTTAAAACATGTTTTTACTCTATAAGGAAGCACAGTTTGCTAAAAGTAGCATTTAATATCATTCACATGAATAAGGTGTTAAATTTTAGTATTTTTTAATCACATCTTTGCAGTTCAGCAAATGCCAATAAAACTAATTTTAAAATGCTTTTATATTATTGTGCACTTAGGACAAACCTGACCTACATAAAAGAATAACAGGTTTTAGACATACTTAATTCATTCAAGTATATCTAAATTTCTGTAAGAACTTTAGAGAGAGAATTTAATACTAAATAATATTTTTATCTGTGCAAAGCTTAAATAACTTTATGAGTTTACTATATCCAGTATCTGAAACTGAACATGAACACAGAAAGCAGCAAAATTCACATTACCTTTTGTATACCCTTATAGCTCAGTTTATGTTAATAAACTATAAAGTTATAAAAAGGACATCATGGATTGAAAAGGGAAACAAAATAAACCAACAAAAAAAACAAAAAAAAACCA